TGGGAACATGTATACATCTCTTCTTCTGACTCACTCACTGTAGCACAAAGAGGAATACAGATCTTGCTAGATGCCTTGAAATATGAAGTGTATGGTTGGGAGGTTATCAGAGTCTTCAAAATAATGGCCTTCTTGATAGGTCTGCAAGGCAGCTTTACCAAATTTCTTTGCCTTTTGGACAGCAGGGACGCCACAGCACACTACTACAGACAGGACTGACCACAGTGGACCAAGTACAGTGTAGGGAGGAACAACATAAAATGAGTCACTGTTGGACCCCCTGGCATGTACTGTTTCCTACACTGCACTTAAATTTGGGCCTTATGAAAGAATTTGTCACAGTTCTAGATAAGTCTGTAAACTTCAAGTACCTTCAAGATTTCTTCCCTAAGCTGTCTGAGGCCATAGTCTAAGCTGGTGTCTTTGTCAGACCACAAATAAAGAAAATCATAGAATGCAAGGAATTCCCCAAGAAGCTCACTAGGATGGAGAAAACAGCATGGGAAAGCTTTGTTGCAGTGGTTCATGGCTTCCTGGTAAATCACAAGGCTGAAAACTATGTGAGACCCGGGTGAAGAACTATAGAAAATGGGCTTCATGATATCCCTCAAATCCATATCTTTGATGCTGATCTTGATAAATTCAAGGAGAACAATGGAGCTCAGAGGAGCAAGGCAAGGGTTTCCACCAGGATATACTGGTCTTTGAATGTCACTTCCAAGGATTGTATAACAAAAACATAATGGGGGTTGATTCATGAAAGTAATTTACGGTATAAGTGTAAATTACAAAAACTACTTACTTCTAAATTTTTTATGTAAAAAACTTTCGTATCATATTTCATTTTGTTCTTACTTTGCCTGAACAAGAATGTTCACATTTACAAGTTTTCCCAATGGGAATAGGTAAATTTCAGAAATATCATTATCCTGATCACAAAAGCAAAGTTTGAAAGAAATATTAGCCATTTTTCATACTTTCTAGGTGTAAGAGAATAGGAAATAACAGTTGCTACCCAAGAATAGTGTTATACTCCACTGCAATTAGATCTCTTTCTGATGATTCATTCTGCATGTCAGCCTGATGTGAACACCAAGAAGACAGAACACTTTACGAAACAAGTCCCTGCAATGAAAGCAATACATGACCCTCGGGACTGCCATATCTGCTTAAAAGCAGGTCCCTCATAATGATCAAAACAGTTGCTGGCAAAAAGGCCACCTGCCAACACACAAATGTGTTGTTGCACTGTCACCACCATGACTGCCTCTCTCAACACAACCATTACCACTCTCATGTTTCACTGATTTCATCCAACTATTGGAATGCAGCCAACAATCCAGCTTTGACACCACCAGGGTCTCAGCACCAACTGCTCCAATTCATAACACCTTATCATCATCACCACCCAACTACAAGCCTTCCTCATGACCCCAACATGTCTCACAATGAATCAACCCACCTTACCTTAGTTGCCAGCCAAAAGGCCACCTGCCATCCCACAAGGTGTTGTTGCCATCACCACCATGACCGCTTCTCTCACCATAATTGTGACCTCACACAAACTTCATTAATCTCACCTGACACTTCACACATGAAATCCAACAGAGACCAGTCTCGACACCTCCAGGCCCTCGAAGCCAACCACTGGGATTTATAAGACTTCACCATTGTCACCACACAACTCAGGCCTCCCTCATCAACACTAAATAGACATTCTGATGATCAGCCTTAACCATCTACTACAGGCCTAGCCTCGCCATCACTACTGTGACCCCATTTCATTGATACAACATTCAACCTAAATCCAACTGAAACATTCTGCTCAACTCACTACAGGCATATCCTTGCAGTCACCACTGCAATCCCATTTCATTGATATGACATTCGACTCAATTCAACTGAAACATTCAACTAGAGGCTTACCAGATACACCTAATTCCTTGTTACTACTGCAACCAATGCAACCCACCACTGTGAACTGAATTGATCAACACGTCTGTCAAATCCAACCAACAGATAAATCCTCTCCAGACCTATCCTTTGACCTCGGCCAAACTAACCCAAGAAATCAGTCACTACTGACAATACACTTACACCCAATCACTTTCCTGATGATCAGCCACCAAAAACAACATTTTCTCCAATTTTCTAACAACTGTAAATATATCATGTATATTAAACAAATGCACACTGTTTGAAAATCAAATCCTTGTTATTGCTTTCTTTTCGCAACCAAACCCTCTTTATAGCAACAATCGTGTTACACAGTGTTGTTCAATCTTTGGAAGTAGGAGGCAAAAGAAAATCTATGCATAAAACCAGTTTTAATTTTTTTTTCTCTTTTTCTTTCTTATTTTTAAAATTACTCTTTAAATATTGCACTCCAAGTTTAAATATAAACATCCAGTCTGCTTATCTGTTTAGTTGTGAATTATGACATTAGTCATAATGTAAATATAAAAGAGGAGAAAAACTGAATAAAACTAGAAGGAAAATGATTTCTCCCTCAGCAACTCTAAAAGTTGTGTACAAATTTAGTTAAAAAGCATACATTTTTTTGTTACCTGCCTAAAGGTTGCAGAGTAACACTTTTTATATTTCTTATCACATCAACTCTTTTTCTTTCTACTCTCATAAAAAGTACTTCTTTCTACTCTCATAGAAGCACTTATTTTCCTAATATAGTGAAAAGATTGGTTACCTTAAGGATAAATTCTATACTCTTTTAATGGAGCAATCATGTATATAGATTAAAAAGAAAAAGTAGAGAAATGGCAATAGAATAGGGATTGATATCCAATATCTACTCATATAATATTTTACAAAGGGTTGCTTTAAAGAAAGGATGTAAAAAAAATTCTGCTATTTGATCAGATTGCTGGAAGCGGGCTAGGCTAAAAACTCTTCAGCACTCCTTCATAAATGATAATGCTTATCTTAAACAACAATACAATAAATTGTATAGCAGTTTATCTCAAACAGGTTAATTTTTATCTTGGAGATGTTTTTCCATTTTTCTACTCAACTATTTTATAAATACTGAAAATTGGTGCATGATAAAACATTAGTAAGGCAAATTATCTTTAAGTAAACAACTAAAATCATCTTATTGATTTCAAAGAACTTGAATATTTCTTGCTTTACTTGTAATGGAATGTAGAAAATCTAAAATAACTGAGAAATTCAGAAATTAGGTGACATGAATTAAATTATTTTTGCTTATAAGAAACCTGTTGGTAGCTGATTTTATCAGAATTTAAATCACTTATAAAGTTGTTACATGCTTGTAGAAATTCCAGCATATCTAAATATATTTTAAGTTTTTTAAAAGCTGTTTAAAATTTACTTTCTTTCATCCAGAAATTTCTATCAAATGCTTTCATGTAATTGTTAACAAGTAATAAGGATTCTGATAGATTTTTGGTTTCTTGTGAAAGAGATAAAGAGTGTCACTTTAAACAGGATTCAGAAAGTTTTACAATTTTGGAGGAAACACATTCTTTGATATATATTTGTACATCTACTTTCACCAATGACAGGGCAAAAAGTTAGTGATTATTCAACTTAAAAGTTCCTAAACATTTTATCCCTTCTCTTATGAAAGAAAGGAAAAGTAACTTATTTTTATACACACTGGGATTGTGTAAATGCAAAACCAATGTCTTTAACTTGGTTTTAAGTTTGTAAGAAATAAGTTTTCATTACTTTATATTTGTTATTTAGTAACTAAGATAGATATTATCAATATTAAATAAAATGTTATCTTTAAAATAGCTATTAAAAGCACAGAAAGACCTATATAAATAGTTCTATGTAACCAATAAACATGTTCCTGCCACCTAAATTCTCTTTATGATATCACAATTATTTCTGATTATAAAATGTATTGAGACTAGCTGTTTGCTCCAGTTCCATTTTCAAAATGTCTTTTATCTTTGAATATTTCTTGAATTTTTTATGCTTATCTATTTTAAGGAAAATTTATGAGTAATAAATTAGTAAAGACATTTTATTTCTAGACAATGCAAAAGTTAGCTAATCAATATCTTATAAATCTGGTAGAGGCTTTGTTTTCCTCAAACAATTTTAAAGTGTTATAGAAATGGAATAAGCTCTCCTATCAATATCAATAGTAGAGAAAATTTCAAAGTATCTCTTTTTAAAAAAATAACAAGATAAATTTTTTGAGGCTTATTAAATTTATAATAACTTGGTTCTGGTAGGTACCAATTATACTACAATGATCTTGTATTCAGATAAAGATCATCAAATTCGTAAAAACAATTTGAATATATGAACAATTTTTCAAAGATTTTTTACTTATCTATTTCTTATTCAGTCTGTGTCAAAATGAAAAATCATAATCATGAGCACACACATACACACTCATACACACGCACACACACACATACACACTCATACACACGCACACACACACATACACACTCATACGCACATACACTCATTAAAAAAGTATCTGATATCAATATAGAAAGGTAATTTTGTTTCAGATTTTTCAAGTATCAAGATTTTTAGGTTTCTCCATTATAGCATCTGTAACAAAGTTATTTTGATATATATAAATATGACAAAATAACATTGTTTCAGATGCATAGAGAAACCTGTGAAAGACAAATGAAAACTGTCCTTTTATAACATTCTCCTAACTTATCAAGTCAAGGTTCAAATATTTGAAATTCAAGTTAAAGTGTTTTATTTTGCATTTGCATTGATAACAGAGTTATATCCTTAGGTAGTGTTTGAAAATATTTTTGAAATGTGTGTTTGTGTGTGTGAACACCCACTTCCTCAAAAGATAAAGAGATAAAATGTGATGCATATGAATTTAGTGTCAAGGAATATAAACACTTTACTATCATCAGTTGATTTAAAATTAATAAATATAATTTATATAATGTAATATTAACAATAAAACAATTCTTAAATTCACTGATATTAAAAGACAAGAACTAAAAATATGCTTTGTTTAATTTCAGGAACATTATTACCAACCTCTGTGGACTTTGGTTGGTGGGGGGCTTAAGAATGTTGAACAATCAAAACAGCCAATGGTAAATGTCCTGCCCCAAAACTGTGACTGGATCCAAGACAAAGTAGTGACCTTTGACCCTGAAGGTTGTTCAGTAACAACCCGAAATGGCAGTAAGGTAAGAAAAAATATAAATTTTTTATCTTCTTCCGCTGTGTAATTTACAAGAAAAATATTTAAAATTTCATTAAGCAACAAAATTCATCTGAATTGTTTTCAAAAATGTTGTCTAAGCTGGCCTAAAAGCAGTAAATAAAGAAAACCTATGAGGTACAATATTTTTGTGATTTTATGTTTTCGTATGTTTTAAACAAATGAGAAATGATTTTATTCAAAGCTTGCAAATATATTTTACAACATTTACAAGCAATCAAATATTTTAGTTTTAACCACTATTAAAATTACAAATTCTTTAACTGTTTGGTATGTCAGCTGCTCAGCAGTGGACATAAGAGCTCTCCAGAGACTTATGGATGTTACTCAGAAATAATTGGCTGCTTGCTGCTCTTCTTGGAGAATATTTCTAATTCTCATTGTCACAGTAGAGCAGAAAATATAATGAAAAAGAGCAGGCATCCCAGTAAAACTATAGTAGGAACTGTAATCTTCAGGGCAACATTTTAGTGCTTTTACTTCTAGCACAAAGCACTTGAGGGACAGCTTTTATTCTTGGACCATGCATAAAATGGATACTGCCGCATGTTGACAATTTGCAACATATTTTAAACATTATTACTTTTCTTCATTCAATACTGTATGTGTGTTTGTTTTCATTTGTTTTGTGGGTGTGTTTTTGTGTCTGTGTGTGTTGGTGCACCTCAGAATTGCTGTCCAATTTCACTGTGTATTGTACAGTGACAAGAATAAATAAATAAATAATTACTTTATAGGTTAATAATATTACTGAATCCAAATACAATTTCATTGTTTGCATTCAAGTGAGAATTTCTTATTGCTATTTGTATCTAAGTAGTTATCATGTTTCATGCATATGGAAGCAGTTCTTCTAAAGGAGGTTGCTGCTCAATTCTGTATTTGAATACAGTTTCATAATTTATCTGTTCTTTTTGTATTTAAAATTGTAATTGTTTTATTTGTGTATGGGTATTTTTCAGATCTCTTATGAGTACCTTGTGGTGGCTATGGGCCTACAACTAGATTTTGACAAGGTAAGAATTTTTGCATTTCTATGAATCTTTTTGGTAAAGCTGCTTTTTTTCTAGAAATCAGATTAATGTGTATTTTGGAAAAGAAGTTTATCATTCAATTTCAACAATTATAAATTATTATTATTATTGATTTTAATTAACTGAATGTACATATGAAAATGTCATTAATTTTTTTAACTTACAAATGATCTTTTATATAAAAATATTATTTTAAATAAAAGTCTCATGAAGAGACTACTAGCTAACTAGTAACAGTAGTTACATTAATTATAAACATAGAATTATTACAAATTCTAATAAGTATTTCCCCCTGGTATTAGTATTTTTACAAACAAAAACAATTCAAAATATTTATTTTATAACATGGGAAACATTAAGAAATGCCTTATGAAATAAAATTGCTATTTTTCATACAGCTATTTTAACAATATAAGAACATTATCATGACCTGAAAACCAAGTGTCAAATCCTCATTATTCTTTTCTCTTGACACCAAACACTTAATACAACAAGTTTATGTCAGTAATGAAATGTATATTTTGTGAGGAAGCTTATTAACCTCAGTGACCATGGTCACTATTGAATTAAGTAGGATTCTGCAGCATTTTGATTGGGCAGAAAATATTTCTGGCCTTTTGAAACATGCTATTTCAATATTGTATCTTTATAAAAAATTACTCTTCTTATTTGACTTGTTTTTGGTTTTTGAAGACTAAAAATAGTTTACATATCTATTCAAAATATTTACTTGGTAGTCTCCCTTCATAACATGGGAAACATTAAGATATGCCTAATTAAGTAAAATTGCTATTTTTTGTAGTTATTTTAACAATATAAGAACATTATAAAAATGATTATATTGTTGGCAACTACATCATTTGTAACTGTTTCATTATTGCAGTAATATTATTTGTTTTATCATTACAAAATTATGTAAAAGGAAAATTCTATTTTTTTTTCTTTTAGCAAAACAATAATTACTCCTGTATCTTTAATTGTAAATTCAATCTCATAAAATTCTAGATAACCAATAAAAAATATGCAAACTAAAAATAAAATAGTAATCCTAATAAAAACACATCAGACATTTTACAGGCAAATGGTTTAATAACTGGATTAATCTAATCTCAATGTGTCTAATACTTGTTCAACACTTTTCTTTTCTTTTCTGTAAAATTTGAGCAGCATTTGTTGAATATTGTAGAATTGTTATTAGAATGTCAATCCAAATAATAAACCAAAGTTTTATTTCCTGTTATTAAAATATCCCCCCCTACTCTTTGGCATTTGGTTTTCAGGTCATGATAATTATTTTGAAAACTACTGCACAAAATAGTTTTTTTCTTATTTAAAACTTATGATGCAATGATGAGAACATTACATTTATGGCAGTGCAATATAAAGTTCAAGTAAGTAAATTATGTAAAGTTAACCCTGACCCAACAAACATGGAATGTTCCTGTAACCTTGCACCTTCATATTTTGGTTGGGAGAATGTTACTGTAATATTGACACCAACTATCACAGCTAACAAAATGATGCTACTACAATTACAAAGAGGTTGCAAAAACATTGTCTTGTAACATTACATTAATGATTTTTATAAACTCACCAGAATGTGCCTGCAAGGTTACCTTGTAACATCAAAAATATATTACCTTTGTAAGCAACATACCAGCATGTTGGTTGTTATAATGGAAGGAGGAGGAGGAGAAAGCAAATAAATTGAAATGAAGTATCTGTCATATATCTGTGTTCTTTCTTTCTTTCCCTTTTCATCCTGACCACTTTTACATCATGTACATGCAGAGGAATGGGGATAGTGAGTAGATGTGCTTCCCTGCACCATTAGGTGGCATCAGTGGGCAAGTGCTAGACTCTTGATTTTCATACAAGTCAACCCTGTGATGGATCACATGACCAATGTGAGACACCAAGTCACCAAAATTTAAGATTCAACAGTTGAAGAACAGCAACCAAATGAGATGGGTGCCAATTCCTGCTTTACGTCTATCCAGAATACTGAATAATGTAGTAACCCAAAAGAAAATTGTTGATTGAACTAGTTTCATCATATCCAGGAATTACAGATATGTCTTGATCATCAACCTTGACAATTGTTAACATCTGCTTGACGGACACTGAACTCTGAATTTATCCATGGGCTTGGATGTTTTGTGGTTATGAATTTATCCCTCAGAGTCAACCTTTTTATAAGAACTATTGATATGTTGACTCTAAAACACAGTTAAGTAATATGTGAATTATCTTGATATGATTGAAATTTATTTGTTATATGCAGCATCCACCACATGCAAATCCAAACAAATTCTTTCTTTTTCATATCATCTCTTTTTCTGTTCTCATGTTTGTTATTAAACTGTTTATGTTAAATTGACTCCAGGTTGGAATTTTGCATGTATTTTTCCTATCCCCTTACTCATATGAATCCTGGAAATCATCCCAAACCAAATTTTACATCTTTGCTTAAATACAAATGCCGTGACACTTTGTAATGTTACATTAACATTCTTCTTTAGACATCCCAAAACAATGCATATGTAAAAATGTTACCTTGTATATTACCCATAGCATATCTGTAATGTTGCTGACCTCAAACTGATTACTCATCCACAATGTTGTCACAACATTATGGTAACATTATGAAGTGCTGTAACTGAAAAATTCCACACTGGTCATTTCTTTTTGTATTTTTTGAGAATCACTAAATTAGATTCTGAATGCACATTCTAATATCTTCCTGTAATTCATTATCCATTTTCTGTGAAATACATGACACCATTTTTAAATTCCATTTTTAACAAAACTGTCATGTAGGAAGCAAAATAACAATCAAAGGGCTTTTTTTGTCTCTAAAAGGACAGTTTTAACTAATTCATCAATTCTAATGCTTCATTACCGTCAATAATATATTATATTTATCATATAGTGGTGTGGGGCTTCAGGGTTAAAATGATTTACCCACACCAAGAAAATTAATGAAGGATGATAATGATGAGGAAACACTGATAATTTTAACAAAACAAGATAAGGAATTAATTCATGAATTTACATGCTTGGAGTAGTGTTAGTAGCTCATTTCAAGAAAATAAATCAGAATTCTTAAAGTTCGTAGTTTTAACTTAATTATCGTGAAAATTCCACATAGACTCATAAATTTGTTTCTGTCTTTTTCCTCAGCAAACTTGAATTTGAAGGGAGTGAGTTAAGGGAGTACTCACCACAATTCTATTCTGATCATATTTCTTGACCAAAATTAATGTTGTGGATCCCAAGATGAAATTCGGTCTCCAATGAATGACAAACGCAGGAATTAAAGATAAGAAAATAAATGTATTTACACAATAATATAATGGGTAATACAGTTAGTAAATCCAGGAACGCGTTTAGTAGCAATAATATATATATATATATATATATATATATATATATATATATATATATATATATATATACACAGTCTCAAGTGGGACTTCCTTAGACTCGGGCGTGCTTGTAAACTGTGACTTCTACAAAGCGGTTTACCTCACACTATTACTCTACCTCCAACTCAATCACCATCTCAGTCTCGATCTCCTTACTATCTGACTACTCTGACTGACTCTGGGTATTTAACGGCAGCAGTCCAAGTAACACTGGTCGAGTCCACTTGTATCAAAAGGGGGTGGACCCCATAACAATTAATATAGTTAGTTAAGCACCTAGGATGATAGACTTCATCTTTCTTATGTGACTGTTACTGTCTCACCACTATGACTGAATGAATAAAATAGAAACAAATCTTATTACTTTACTTTTGTTTTTATCATTATAATACCATTATATTTTGATTTAAGTGATCAATGCAATTATTACTTTTTAAATTGATGAAGCATAAAAAATCTAAGTATTGGTAGAAGAAGTTCATTAACTCATCTAGATGAAAGAGAACTTAATTTATCCTAGGTTGAAAAGCAGTCCTGAAATGATGACTTTGGTACTTGCAAAATTCACTATATGCAAATAATATAAATATCTGAAAGGTTACCATTTTTAACTACTAACCCTAAAACTATTTCCTTCCTCAAAATAGCTTTTATCTGTTGCAACATAAAGAACTGAATGGAATGGTAATGCTGGAAACAATACTTTTACCATGGCCACTGATCAATAAGAGAGCAAGACTGTCAGAAAGACAAGGGAACCCTACTTATTTAAGCAGATGAGGACAGAGAGAAGTTACCAGAGAGAGGGGCATAGATACATCCACCCAACATTAGGTATCATGTAGTATTTTTAGTTTTCACCTAAGTATCATTTAAGGTTTTATGTGTAAGAGAACTCTCTTGATTATTTTTATACATCAAATTTGCCTTGTTGTTCCACTTAGTCAATATGAGTCAATATCCTACTTGCTAAGTGTTGGTCTCATTTCTATCCACAACCAGTAACATTCTGAAAACTTCACACTACCAAAAGCAACACCAGAGTATTTGATTAAGACACACAACTCTAATCTAAATGTGCCAATAATTCAACATAGGACTTTTATCATTTGTGTACAGTTTGAGAAACAAAATCATTATAAATGTGAGAATGAACATGAAGTATTGTAAATCTTGAATAATATTTACTGATAGCAATCATTTTAATTTTGCAGGTGACAGGCCTTGTTGATGCCATACAGTCAGATCCAATGGTTGTGTGTAACTACAGTGTAAAAACAGTTTCCAAAACATTTCCAGCACTGCAATCTTTCAAAAGAGGAAAAGCTATTTTCACTTATCCAAACACACCCATCAAATGTGCTGGGGCTGCTCAAAAGATCATGTACCTCACTGATGACTTCTTTAGAAAGGTAAACAAAACAACCAGGAAAAAATCTACTAATGTTTTTAAATTTTGACAATTACTCTTTCTTTGCTTTTTTAAAAACAATTTTTCTTTCTTTGTAATCATATTGGCTCTATATCTTTTAAGAAAGATAGTTTGGAATTACAAGGTGTCTTTAAATTCTAATCAAATTAAATTCTAATCATGGAAAATTAAATTCTTAGAGCAAAATATTATGGCAGCCTCAGAGTAATGGACAAGAAGAAATGGCTGTAAAAACAGTCAAATGAATGTTAATAGATTGCACTGATGGATATGGTTGCCTGTGCCACAATTGTATGGCACAGACCATGCTGACCCATTGGAACACACCCAACCAGGACATTGATATGTTATAGCTGAGATGTTATATGGCCGTACAATAAGAGATCATCTCTTTATTCTTCATAAGAAGTACCAAATACACAGGCATTGGAGGGAGATCAAGGAATTAAGGGAAACTGCGATGGTAAAAAGGCACCTACTAAACCAGAATCAGTACAACATGCACTGTCACCTACTCCGAGAGCTCCAGGTTGGCAAATCAGTGCAAATACAAAATCAAGATAAATCATATCCATAGCAGTGGACAAAGACAAGGAGGGTTGTAAAAACACTGAGCAATAGACAATGCTGGGTGTGCATAGACAGCAGCAACCAAATTACACTGCACAATTGTCGATTCCTTTGAAAAATTGTACACCAGATTAAACAACACCACAGCTGCCTCCCACAAAGGCAAATACTTACTGATGTGGAACCTTCATACAACGCACTGGAAAATATGGAAATAGATGAGACAGAGACAAGTGGGTGAAGGACCATACAGAAATGGAAGTGGACAAAAACCAACCCCCAATCATGCAACAGCTAATGTGGCTCTGAATAGATTGACAATTGTGATTATTAATCACACTGACCCACAACACATAAAAATGGCTATTTTTCACTTTCCTGAAAAGTGCAAGAGCTAGATAACAATTTGACAAACTCATGAATTTTTTTCCAGTCAAACCATTTTCTTCAACTTTATCCAGAAACATTTCCTTTTTTCTTGTTATGTATGGAGAGAAAAAACACTTAATTAAAATAGCATTTTGGGTTTGTTTGTAGCCATAACTGTATTCTTTGATGTTTTTTTTTAATTTTAGCAATTTTTGTGTAGATACCAAAATACATGACTCATCATACATGCAGATTCATTTGTGAACTTAGTTGGAAACATTGAAGGATACAGTTGGATCATACTGGTTTATACTAGTAAATCTTGGTTAATTTCAGATTCAAATCACTAGTTCACCCTGTGTCAAATACATAATATTGTTATTACCATACTCCAGCCAATCCATTGTACAGACATATATCCATTAAGAATGACATATTGTACATTTTTCCATGGAACAAACAGAAAATACAAGACAATAATGAAAAGTTCTCAGCCTGTAAAGAAATTCTACCATTTAGTCATTTGGTTATATTTTGGGAAATGGATTGGCCAAGAACTTTTCAACACCTTCTCACAGTATATACAAATAACTAGCTTGGTTTATTCTCAGTAATGCGAACTATACAGAATATACATTGGTCTCCAATTTCTTCATTGCTGTTGTTGAAATTCTTAATCAATCACTTAACTTATGCATTATCATAAGTTATTGAAACAATCTTTCAATTTTTTCATTTTCCAACAATTTTCCCTTTTATTGATTTAGATATTATCCCATTGAAAGTGATGTATGCTCTTTCTATCTAAATATCTTTTTTCTATCTCCTGTTTGAATATGGCTTTATATTTTCCAAGTTTAATCTTCAAACTTATATTATACATGGGATGTGGAATATAAATGCTGTCTTTTGTCAAACTTTTCTCCTGTAAGAGATCAACTCTAGTAAAGAACTGTTGTGCTATTGAAAACATCTCTGGTGCTGTAACATCTACAAATGTTTGGGATCTGTTTAGCTGCACCTCTTACATATGGCAGATCTGTGTAGCTACATAGCTGCCATCTCTGGATTTTGTCTTCCTACAAACCATAACTGAATAATTGTTATATTAGAGGGTTTTACTTATGACCTTTCAGTTTTATAGGATCACTGCTATACCTGGTATTGAAGACAACAAACCCTTTGTTCACATGGATGTTTGAAATCAAATTTTAAATACATCTCTGTATATGTCGGTCTTTTGTTCACACCATTGCAAGAGGCCATTTTCTTGTCATTGCCTATTAAACACTAACTGAAAATGTGTTCTTTTTATACAAACCATATTTATTTAAGAAAGATTCTGGTCAGGATCTGAAAATAAGGGTCAGTGTCCAGTTTGTCACATGGTAGAAGCCTTCTTCATTGCTTGAAAGTTTGTTAAAATAATATAAATAGGTCTTTCCTATCTATTTTTTTATTACAGTTGGTCAAATTACTTTTATTTAATAAGTTTTAAATTTATATAAGTAAGTTAAGGTTTGTATGTATTTTCAGAAATTCTGATAAAAAATTTTGGATTTGATGTTGAGATTTTAAAAGGAGGTGATGTGTTTGGTATTTCAGAATGGCAAGCGAGATCAATCTGATATTGAGTATTTCACCAGCCTAGGTATGATATTTGGGGTAAAATATTATGCTGAGAAGCTAGAAAAAATTGCTGCAGGACGGTAAGTTGTCATGTCATTATTTTAAAAGTATAATTAGTGGCAATATCTGCACGCTTATTTCATTTTCTTTTCATAATAGAATAAAATTCATACCCATTTTTTTCTTTTACATGTAAAATTGAAATCTGTTTATTTTCATTTAATTTATTTTTAAATAAATGAAATTTTTTTTTTTGAAATATTGATAATATAATGCCTTTCGGTGCTGCCTGCATCTGGTAGTGTAACCAGATTTTAGTGGTTCAGTCCTCAGGATCTTAGAACAATGTTTTAACCATGGGGCTAATGCTGTGCTGGTCAATGCTGACACTGATTCAAGCTGGTTATTGGTTGCTAGCTACTTTGATCTACACCAACTCTGCCTCTGCTGTCTTCTTGAGCCGTGGAAAATCAAAGTTCATAGTCTTGCAGCACTGGTCCAAGCCATGGTGGGTGCTATATTAAGGAAAAAAATATCTTTACAATGAAAAATAGAATGAGAGAGTTGTGGGGTTAATCTTCAATTGGTTTATATAGCTCTTGGTATAAAAAAAAAAATAACCCTTCCTGCATCAATCTCTATAGTGACACTGAGTCTTATCTAAACTTATGGAGAAGCTAGGTTCAAAGTCTCAGAATCAAGAAATCTGGTGGCAGCTAATGTGGATTTCAGATGTGCTCGATGCAGGTTCTCAGCCCAAACTGAGCTTCTCAAAGTTATTTTTTTATATACACTTCAGATCCAAACTGGCATGGAGCTGAAGGGTTCTGGGGATTCAGTGATTCCCCAATTTTCATTAATTCCAATAAATGTTTTCTTTGTTCCCTATTTCTGCTTTCTTAATCAACTTTCCACATTTGGAGAATTATCCACCATCCTTGGGAGTAGTCACAGAAATTGCTCCTCCCCCTAACTTCAACCTGCTTCACTTCACATCTTGCACTGCTACTCCACAAAGGCAGGGCTAAATTCTACCCCTTCCTCCTTCCTTCTTGGTATTCTTAGCATAACTGTCTTTGACAAATTTAATTTTTTAAAGTGTGTAAGAGAAAGGGTGTGCTTTATTCTCCTCATTAATTTCAGTTCTCTGACTCCTTTCCTGGACCCACCTGTCCAGCAAAAACACAAACCAGATCACCTTCTCGTTTTAATCTTCTGAGGGATAGATAACAATTATTTCCCAGTTTGTTTTGTTTACCTAAATTCTCAACAAAGAGAAATGCTGTTTTCCATCCTTGGGCCAGTTGCCGTCTTAATGAAAACATACACCAGATTACCTGCCTGTTATGACATAGATTTTCATCATCCTAACCCTTACAGTGGGCTCATTCTCTGTTTTCATTTCTCAATTCGCTTTCACTAACAAAAATATAATTTCCATCTGCTTCTCTTTTCACCAGATATGTGTTTTTCTAATTTCCCAAGAAAGAGATAGTCATTTCCCAATACGCATGCTAGATTTTCAACAAAAAAAAAAACTCTTGGTGCATCATTACAATTTGTAGGGGTGAGGCAACCCAGATGGCACTTTCTTTACTTCCACATTACCAGGGAAAATGTCTTCCATTCTCTCTTTCTATCTTCCAGTTTATATTTCATTTTGAGCTTAACCCCTTTTTACTTAGAATTAATGTTTAACCACCTCACAGCCTCAGTGTCACAATAATACATTTAAGCTTTTGAATTGCAAATAATGATGTTCTTAAATGATCATGATTTCTGAAATTCATTTTTTTCTGTTAGAATTTTTGATTTCTGAGGGCCTGCAATTAGCTCGCCTAGTTTGGTATTCAGCTGAAGCTACAAATACAAATGGAGACTTACTTAAAGTTAATTGCTTAACACCTTCTCTTATGATTTCCATCTGTTCTTTTAGGAACATCAATGTAAATTACTTACACAATCTGATTGAGGTACAAGCAGATAAACGAGAAGCTATCTTTGCCAAAATTAATAGTGAAGGTGGTGAAACAGTAACTGTCAAGGTAAGCAATATTTTGTATATCTTACAAGCATTGTTGATGTGTTGGAAGACATAAAGATTAGCTACACAGTTAGCTTTTTTATCTTGTTATAAAGCCATATACTAGTCTGTTTTAATAATTATTATTGTTGTGAAGTATGTGATTGATGATATTCTAATTAACTGACTTTTTCTCAGTAGTAGAAGGACTACATACAAGTCTATGTGTTCATATGTAAATGAAACATGACTTATTTCAATATGTCCTGGAAATGAAAGAGATTTATGCTTCTTGTGAATCTTGAACTTCTATATGTTGTTTCATTTTCATTGCTCCTTTGACCTCCACCCCCTCTCTATTGGAGATCAAGATCAGTTTCATTTATTATTGTGATCTTGGCATTGTTCATCATAGTCTATGCCCATATTCTCCAGGCTCTCTCTATAATTCCATTGACGTTATTGTCACTAGTTTCATTTTCTTGATATAAAACAGTGGTAGTCAAACTAAGACCCATGGGCCAAATCTGGTCCATGACAGGATACCTATCTGCTACCCAACATTGAAAAGATGATTGGTGAGATCACCAAATACAAAAATTTAGTACCCTGGATCAAAAAACACTTATAACCAGGTAGAAATAAACCCAAAATATAAGCCTTATACAGCTTTTGAAGTTTTCAGATGATTGTACCAATTTCATTGAATCCCATTTAGGGGTCACAAACAGTGGGACCAGCTTCCAAAGGTGTTGTTGATAAGAAAAACTGCAAGGCACTTATGTAGACAATGTAACAGTATGTGGCCATGACAAAACTGATCACAATCACATTCTCAAGCAGTTCATGGTTGCTTTTGAAAAGTACAACCTTACACTAAATAATGCTAAGTATTCTTAACATACTAGGATATGCAAAGTTGATTATGGCATAAGCAAAGTTGATTATAGCATTTGACTGTGAATGGCTGGAGCCACCATGGGAATTACCAATGTCTAATATAGTATGAGTATGTTTATATATATTATTCCCCATTCTTTGATAAAATACACTTGTTAACACAAATTATCAGTTTTCCTCTAACTCATCCTGTCATCAAAGCCATTGAGGATTTAAGAATGGATATCACCAATTCTGCTATCATAGCAGTAAATCCCATTATTCCTCTAGTAGTAGAAACAGACACTCTCAACTGTGCTATTGATGCCTCACTAATACAATTTGATCACTCTGTAGCATACTTTTTTGTGGCTGGAACAACAACATTCAACCAAGAAAAAGAGCCTTTGTGGAGGACCTAAAGAAATGACAACATTACTTAATCAGCCACCACTTTAGACTAGTCACAGGCTAAAAGTCTGTAGCAATACTGTACAATCCTAAGATGACTAGCTGAATAAAAAATGTAAAAATAGCCAAATAGAGAACTGAATTTTCCTGCTTTTAGTTTGACATCATCTATCACCATGGAAAGTATTGTAATTGCACATAAAATTGTAAAAAGTAACAAAGTTTTCAGACCTGAAGTTTGTAAAAAAAACACATGGTTTTTCCATGCCCTGAGATTTAATCAAATATCAAAGCCTTGAAGTTATCAAAAAGAACTGTCATTTGTAATATTCAGGATATTTCTGTAAACCTTCCTGTGCAACTTATGGAGGCTGCACTAACACTCAGATAACAAGAAAACCTGGGTAGATGCACCCAGACAAGCCCACTATTGAAGTTACACTGTTTTATCATTTCATTGTATCATTCACCAAGAAAGTCTTTGTAAATCAGTTTTTGATTTGAAATATATGATTGATCCAGTCATTTATGCTGTTAACCAGATGAGAGCAAGAGCCCTAAATGAAAAGCAGTTCAGGAGTCTACTCACATAATGTTTCTTGGTTGAATACTCAACATTTTTAAAAGAGTTTGGAATCTAAAGGAAGAGATTTTGCAGTTTCTTGCAATGAAAGATATTAAATGTGACTTTACAACTGAAATGAAAAGGAAAGAATGAATATCAGATTTTGCTTTTGCAGTTGAAACTTTTGCAAAAGAAAATGAATTGAATATCAAACTGTAAGGGAATGTTTATTTGCACATGATTTGTTTGTTGAAATAAAATCATTCAAAATTAAATTAGAGTTGCTTCTAAATGACTCGTTGAGCACAACTTTGGACATTCTCCTCTGTTACAGAAACTTCAAATCCTCCCAACTTGTGTAGATAAATATAGTCACACAAATACTGGCCTTGAGAGATGAATTTGTAAGAACAAAAAACATCAATTTGCTTGGCTCACCATTTATATACAATATATAGGCAGCACCAGTTGATCTTCAGGTGGAGTTGACTGATCTTCAAGAGTTTGCAGCTACTAATTTCTATTCACTTCCACATCTTGTATTTGAAAAACAACATTTCAAAAAACAGGTCTCTCTTGACAAATAAGAATTTGAACACTAACATGAGAAAAGACGATATTCAGCTCATGGATAATTCACTCACAAGTCCCATTAAAAAGTTGTTCATTGCAGAGCATGACAGGCAACATAGACATGTAAACTGTCATCACTGTCACCATGTTGTTTTGTTTTACAATAAACAGTGTCTAAATTTTTTCTAATCATGTCATTATGTAAGAACGTTCATGATCTGAAATTGTAAAATTAACTCAAGTTACTATTAAATGTCAGTGTTAAAAAGTGTTTTTTATATATTTATTATTCAAGTATTTTTTATACCTGTGACCCACCATTATTAATGATAAGTATTAATGAACATTATATTAACTCGGCTTTCATGCATCAATCAAATAGAGGAACTTTACCAATCCACAAAGTCTTACATGTCTGGCAATAAATTTTAGGCGAGGAGACTTTTAGAAAGATCAAAAAGGATTCCAAAATTATTTTGCTAACAATAAAGCAATAAGTGATTGAAAACAATGCATTTGTTACTTAGTTAGCCATTGTATTTTAGAGATCATATCTATAAAGGCAGTTTTCAAAAAGTGAGATAATAAATTTCTAGCAATTAACTTGTAGTTTTTATTTATCTGTACTCTATAAAGAATTCCCTTTACTTATTTATTTAATTTACTTTCTTTCAAAAGCAATAATATTTTAACTACTTTAAAAATTCAATTTAAGTATTAATAGTTGATTTAAAATATGCATATTTTCTTGATGCAGAATTTGTTTGGTTTCAAAAGCCAAGGCATTTTTTGCATTATTTATTAAAAGCCTTTGTTATACTCCACTACAAATTAGATATTTTCTGATTCATTCTACATTTCAGTCAGATTTGAGTGCTAAGAAAGCAAGACCTAAAGTAAAAAAAAATTGTCTTCTGCACGGGGGCTCCAAGCATCACATCCAGTCCACAAAACAAATTGCCACAAAAATATAAAATACAATATAAAAGAAGCCAATCAGAAATAAAGATGAGTCTGGGAGCTACAAGATTTGCTTAAAAGAAAGCCTCTCATAAACGACTGACACAGAATGTAGCCAACAAACCAACTTTTAACACTGAGAGCTCTCAATGTCACCACCATGAATTTGGTCAACTGACCCAATACATGTATCTGCTCATGACCCAACCTCTTCTGCTCACATCCTCTGTATCAGCAAAGTCAGATGAACAGTTTCACTAATCCATTCTAGACCTCTCTCATTTTCAGCATCATGACCAAAGAAATCTATCAACTCCATGCCTTACCAAAAACACCCTTACACCTAATCGCTTCCCTTATCTATGACAATTAAAGAACCACATATCAACAATTTTGTTATCTTTTCACACTGCCTTTTCACACAGGCCGGTTATTACTGTTTTTGTTTGATCTCGTATTTGACCAGAATTCAACAGAGGCATTTCTGCTTGATGAAGCTTTACTATCAGACTCCAGGCCTCTCTCATCATCACCACCATGACCTTAGTCCAGGCCTTAATAACTCTACCCACATTCAAAATAGCTGGCACCTGCAGCTATAAAAATGACATGCCTTGCTGACAAGGGCAGTTCAGTTTAACACTTCAATGGCATTACATCAGCTTATAACTGCTGGCTCACTTATACACTTACTGGCATCAACTTTGACCTTGAAGATAGACGGATCAACCCTACTCATGTTACAAACTGTATATACCCCATGAACTCATACTGACGAATCTACATTAGATAAGTCCTTTTCACACAACTACATATACTGACATTGAGTATTAAGCATATATTCTGAAAACTGGTCAATGTACAGTTGTTGAAATTTTAATACTTGTCTGTTTCTTCCTTTGCAATCATACACTGGATATAACACCTTTGCAAGTACAGAAAGTAAAATCAGTAAAAAATGAGTTTGCTTATATCTTATTTACATTTGGACTAATAACTTATTACATATTTTAGTTTTTAACTATTAAAATGTAAACACTACTTTTGAAACTTTTTTCAGTATGACCTGCTGCATGTTACTCCACCAATGTCAGCACCAAACGTTATAAAAGCCAGTCCTTTGACTGATACTTCAGGATATGTAAATGTTAATAAACAAACACTTCAGCATGTGAAATATTCAAATATTTTCAGTTTAGGAGATTGCACAAACATTCCTACTTCAAAAACAGCTGCAGCAGTTGGTAAGATTAATTGATCTATTAACTATTTGTCTTGTTCATTCTCATAATATAATAAATATAATTACATACTAATATTATTATAATAGAATCAGTATAATGTTGAGATGAAATCAAATTGCTGTTGGCATCTTGTTTCCTTTTTGATTAAGATAGATTTTTCTTATATAAAATATAACATTTCCTTTTAATGTAAAACTGTATATACATCTATAATAAAATAAAAATGTTAATTGGTAACTGAAAAGATTTTTAGAGATACTTATTACATGTTTTATTTTTTCTTCCAGTTTTATAATTTGAATTTAGATCATAAAGTTATTTTAATATTTTCAACGCTTTTGCATTACAAATGATTACAAAACACCATAGTTGATTCAATTTTTTTTTGCTATTTATTAAAGATTATAAAATGTACATAATTCCAATTTTCACTTATCTTTTTTTCAGCATGCCAGAGTGGAATACTACAAAACAATCTCAAAGCAGTGATGAAAGGTAATTCTAACCAGAAAATGGTAAGGGAATATATTAAATTTTTATAAAGTTTCTTGGAACACAAATTGCAGAAATGCAGAAAATAATACCTTATGATTAGTGTGCATAGAAATTTACATTTGCAGTATTACAAAACTTGGTTGTCTGCCTTGACTAGGCCATAATTTATGCACATGTCAAAGGGTAAGAAATGTATCATGTGACATTATGGCTAGAAGCACAAAAATTTGCCTGGTTAGTTTGAGCTAACTTATCAACATGGCTGCATATCTACCCAAGATCTCCAGTTTCTCTCACCTTTTACAGCTGAAGATGAATCACTGACACAAATAGCAACCATATATCAATTTACTCATGTTATCACATTGTCATGATTATGGTTTAAAGTTGAACAAAGAACATATCAGATAATATGGAAGACAAATTGTTACATTAGACTGAAACTGATGTTTTACCTCTGAATCGACTTGCCTCAGAAACATTACATGATCCAATATTAAATAGTATTGCCTCAAAAATAAAAAAGGAACAAATACAGTAACTTTTCTAAAGCTGAAAAGCCTTATAAAGAGATAAGATATAAGTTAATCATGAAAAATGATATCTTATGTGATAAAGACTTAGTAGTATCATTAGAAAATTTGAAAAAAGGTTTATTAAAAATTGTTCATGACAGTGTTCATTGTGTAATCAAATCCATACAAAAACAAAATTAGAAGCATGGTGCCTGGGTAAATCATGTGATGCCAAAAAACAATGTTTACAAATATCCAAAATATGTGTAAAATGAAGAAATTTTGACAAAATAAATTGCACACTAAGCCTAAAGAAATAGATCCCTAGGCTCATGTTATAGGCTTTAGGCTAAAATGGAATTCCATCACCCCACTCACAAACATAAATTTCCTTGGTATTTTCTTGTAGGCCAGGTTCCTGTAGTACCTGAATCAAATGTTAACTAACAGTAAACTCACTCCCACTATACTAGAAACATTCATTTGTAACACCCCACCCACTAAACGACAAAAAATGACATCTGGATTTGGGAGGAGGGGAAACCTTTTCTTTGGATTGTCAAATTTCAATATATCTGATATCATTGTGTATGGTTATGATCATTCCATCTCAAACTCCCATTATAATTGAAAATGTCATGTAAATAAGGATTTTTCTAAAGGCAGAAAAATCAGATCAATGTGAAAATATCTTAATTTCAAGTGCAAAAATCACATAGAAAACTATTTAAACCTCTAAACTAAACTTGATTTGTATTTTCCTGTAGCCTTACATTTTGCTAAACAAAATGACATGTTATTAGCAAATATTTTTATTTGCACCCTCCAGTTTTTTGCAAAATGATTCACTACTCCAAGTCAAGAGCAAAATCTATACAAGTTGCTCCTTATTCACATCATTAGAAAGAAAGTTCTTCCAGTTTCTTGGATAATTCGTTTTCCCTCCTCCAACAATGAGTTTTTCTCCATCCTCCTTCTTTGTTCAAGTCCTTTAACTGAGCATTTTTGTACATGTCAGTACTAAATATTACAGGACACTTTTCTAATGCCATTTTTAAAATAACTTCTGTGATTTCCTCAAAGGTTTGTAGGATCTCTTTCAGACAATGAAAGATTGCATTTCCATCCATTTAAAAAACTTTCTGTATTTTCTGGAAATATTCCATTGTCAATATCCTTGATAATGTATTGAACCCTTTTTCATTTATCAGTTTTAGTTAAAAATTGTCTGGAAGATCTTATCAGAATTGTTAGTAATTAGACAGCTTTTATACAGAGTGGTTAGTATTGAAATGGGTAGGTCAGGATAGTTCATTATTGTTACAGATACATTGCAGTTACAAGGTTTTCAATTTTATAAATGAAAAACAGATATTTAGGAATGTTGAAAATTTTCTGAAATACACTTTTTTCATCTAGATATGTTTATTTGTATTTCTAATTTTAATATGCAAAAGTAAAAATGGAGATTATAAATTGCATATGAATTACCTCCCTTGATAAAAACAACACCAGTTCTATAATCTTTCATTGCTGTGCATGAACACTTTACATTGTAATTTGCTTGAATTTTTTATTATTTCAAATGATATCATTTCCGCAAGTAATATTCTAAGTGTATGAAAATTGTTTTGGATTGAGTTTAATAAACTAGAAAAAAAACTCTTTCTCAAAACCTAGAAAACTTATTCAATAATGTTTTGTTGTTTGTTTCCAAATTATGTTTTTTTCTGGAGAGACACTAAATTATTTTTTTTTTCTTGTCTAGTATGATGGATACACATCTTGTCCTATAGTTACCAGTTCTAACAAATGCCTTCTAGCAGAATTTGACTTTGACAATCAACCACTGGAGACTTTCCCATTCAAGCAAGCTAAAGAAAGGTCATCTATGTTCTTTGTCAAATCCTATTTATTACCATTTATCTACTGGAATCTCATGACAAAGTAAGCATTTTTTTTATGTTACCATCTTTAGCAGTTTTGATTAAAAAATTTTATAACATTTGTAAATGATTGTTATTTAGGAAATGTTCTCAGCACACACAAGAACCTCACACCCCTAATTCTGATATTTGAAAACTTTGCAGATTTTAAAGAGTGGGTGTTGGGCCAATAAATTTTCAGCACCCCTTAAATATATGTATAAGCTTTTTGTGAATATATATATATATATATATATATATATATATATATATATATATTATATTAATAACGATACTCAGTTGGTAAAAAAAAAAATGATAACACAATTTGCAAATAAAAATACATTAAAACAAATCAGTGTCTGGGGGAAAAAAATTAAAAAAAAAGAAAGGACTAAAAACATCTGAGTAGGCTGTAAAAAATCTCCAGTGCTGTAATTTCTAGTCCCCTCCAAAAAAAACAATCAAGTAAACCACCCAAAATATGTTTTAGAACAAATCCCCAACAGAATTAGGTTTGGATTATTCACTAATTAATCCAATGTTATAATAGTATTTTTAACCAAAATTACAAGATGGCATTGAAATAAAGTGGACATAAAACCAAATTAATATCTGTGAATACTGATAATTCTCCCAATATCTATGGTAAGAGGAAAATAGAACGGTTCAACCCACCATAAAACTTAGCTATAACCACCAGAAGAGGAAAGGTATTTTTTAAACTATTAAAAAAGGATTCCTCCCCAACATCTAACATTTTATATACAAAATAGAAATTTTTTATACAAAATCTTCAATAGGATTTCAAATTAAGCTACAGTTGTATGCCTAATATAGCTGATTTGAGGAATAAATATAACATTAAAAAAACTAAAAATAAGCAAAATTCCAACCCCCTACATATAACTGCAGAAATAAGGAGTCCTGCCCACTTAAGGGCAGGTGCCAGCTCGAATGTGCAGTTTATAAAGTGGAAGTACATAGAAATAGACCTAGCATTGACAATGAGAGCAAAAAAGTATATATAGAGTCCACCTAAGGTATTTTTAAGAAACCGTATTATAATCACATAAGCAGCTTTAAGCACAAAAGTTATAGACATAGCACTAGCCTATCTAACCATATATGGAATATAAAACAAGAAGGAATTGATCCAATTTTAAAATGGGGAATTATAAAAAAAATGTTACAAATATAAAGACAGTAATAAATATTGCCTATTATGCATGGAGGAGAAGCTAGCAATAGCTACTTTTAGCAAACCAGATATATTACTTAACCAAAGATCTGAAATCCTTTGCAGCTGTAAACATAACAAAGCTTGGTTATTGGAATAAAAGTATTATTTTATTTTTTTTTCCATTCGTCATATGGTTATATGCTGATTTTAGTTTTTAGTGGTTGTTTTTATCAATAAATATGTTTCTTTGTCATATCATCTTCAGTCAGTTTGCCTTGAAGATACATTTAGGTGAAACCTAGGTAGGTAGTTCCTGGCTCACTACAATTTTATTTTATATATATATATATATATATATATATATTGTCATTCACACATACATATATATATATATATATATGTATGTATATGTATAAAAGAAAGAGGTGTTAGTAGTTCCAACGAGAGAAAGTGTGTATATTAAAAAGAAGAGAGAAACTACAAACGTTTTTGATTTTAATGTGGATTTTTTAAAAAAATATTATGCTTTATTTTCCATAATTTTTCTACACAAGTTTCTGGTCTTGTGACCTTCATCAGTCAAAGTGTGGAGATTTCCACATATTATTAAAAATAATTAATTTTTTTCTTATGTTTTTCGATGTTAAATATTCTTGATATGAGATATTCTGTTTTTTGTGTGTTAGTGACCCAAATGTCTTCCTGAATTGGCAGTGAAAAATTCTGCGTGTTGGGTTATAAAACAATTAAGATTGGTCCGAAAAATGGTGAAGGAATTATCGGCATTCTTACCTTTTAATGACCCCTGTGTGTTCTTAGATCTATTTCCATTTTCTTGTGTTTTTGTCAGCATGTGTATGTATATGTATATTCCCTCTCCATACATACACACTGCCTTATTATAAGGAATTAGTAAAAACATTTGTACACATACACACATATACACACACACAAACATACACTTCCTATGCTGTATATACACATACTGTCCTATTACAAGGAATCAGTATATACACACAGACACACGCACACATACATATGTACATATACATATACTTCCTAAGTTACAAGGAATCAGTATATACACAAACATATACATACATACATATATATATATATATATATATACATACATACATATACATATGCTTCCTAAGTTGTGTGGAGTTTGTGCACATGCCTGTGAGTATAGTCCCTTGCTTTTGTCTGTATATATTTGTGTTTCACAGACACCTGCATGTGAGCATGTGTGCATGTATGCGAGTGGTTTGATCACTGTATTTGACCATTATGTGCACATGTTGTGTGTTATTGTGTGTGGGGTTATGATCTATTTAGTTCTGGTTTAAATTTGTTTATGAAGTTTTTTTCTTGTATTTGTAGGTAAGAATAATTGTCTGTTTGATATATTGGTATAATTTTAAATTTACCCTGGTTACATTTAAAGATGTGTTGTGATACAAAAGTTTTCTGTTGTCTGGTAATTTTATGTTGCTTTTGTGTAGGGAGACCCTGTTGTTCAGTTGTTGGCTGATACCTATATAGGACTTCTTGCATTTTGTGCATTTGAGTACATAAATCAAATTTTTGGAGTTGCAGTTTAAGTTTTTATTTATTATGAATGTTGTTTTGGGGTTTTCAAAAGTGTAGGAGTTTCCTTCTATAATGATGTCACAAAGCTGCCTAAAATCCATCCCCTATTCTCCAGCACGTGGGGTTTGTACTATAGTGACTGATAAACAAAAGAAAAAAATTGTCTAGTAGAAGAACTACATAAAACTATCAAAAAATTTGGACAGAAATTGAGCGACACTAAATAACAAAGGTTTTGAACTCACAAAATAAATTCCTTTAGACCAACTTCGGAAATAAAAGAAAAATAACATAAGAAATGTAGGATTAATCAAAAACTAGTTCTAAAAATTTATATATATATGTATATATATATAATTTATTTAAAAATATGATTCCAAAATTTTTATAAGAAGTCTGTTTCAAAACAAGAGCCGAAAACTTCAATATAATTATTTAAATTAAATTGAGTTAAAGTGAGCTCTG